GTGTGTTTCATGGTCCTGCAGTTGATGTTTGTCCTGGTGTGCGTATGTCTCTAGAAGCACAGAATCCTGCATCATGGAGCTGCTCCGGCCGAACCTGAACAAAAACCTACTTTTGGGCACAATGGCTGAGAGGGTGGCACGGTGACTTAGTGGTTAGCACTGCTGCCTCACAGCACCAGGGACCCGGCTTCAATGGAGTTTGCACGTTCTCCCCATATCTGCGTGGGTTTCCTCCGGGTGCTCCAGTTTCCTCCCACAGTCCAAAGATGTGCAGGTTAGGGTGGATTGGCCATGGGAAATTGCCCACAGTGTGCAGGGACATACAAGTGGATTAGCCATGCAGGGTTACAGGGATAGGGTGCAGGGTATTGGGTCAGGGTAGGATGCTCTTCAGAGGGTCAGTATGAACTTGATGGGCCAAATGGCCTGCTTCCACACTGTAGGGATTCTAGGATTCTAGGATTCTATAAAACAAAACGGTGCCTCACTGTCTAGACTTGCTTTGCAAAACGCACATTGCAGGCGGAGGTGGGCAATGGTCTCTTCCCCATCGCAGACACTCCAAAAGGCAGCATGTGGAGTGGCTGAGGCTCCAGGCTTGGAGGAAAGTCCAGGTGACTGGTCTATGCAGTTCCCAAGGAACAAGGCCTTGCTTTCACTGTGATTCAAACTGGTCAATCTGACCAATAGTGGGTTCCAGCAGAAGACAGCGATGTTAGCCACAACCTGAGTACCTTCACTGACTGAGATTGTCACCCTCTGTTCTGCTTACATCCTTCCTGATGCGAGAATAGATTTACAGCATAAACCCTGCAATTTCCTGATTCCTTCTAGCTAAGGAAGCTTTGGAACTGTCACCCTTACAATCCCAAATTAAAGAGTTCTTGGATTAAATTCGAAAATAAATCACAACTTTGATTTGGAGATTCTTTACACTTAAGTTTGCTGAAAGCCCCACCTGTTCTCTTGTAACAAGGGGCTTCAGAACACAGACCTGGTCCTTCATAATGTGATTGTGATATTCTAATTACAATCGCACATTGCTTCGCAAAGTTTGGACTGGACTCCCGAGCTTTGTTTACATCAAAGTGAAGCTGTTGTTTTTTGCACTTCAAAAGAATCCTGCCGAAAGACTGAGCTCTGAGGGAAACAGGAAATAATCAACAAGGTAATTAGCAAGATGTTCAGATGAGGCACATTAAAGGTTTTAATTCTTTAAAGGTGGTTGCCTCCTTGTTTGCTCACTGCTTTGATACTGATAACTTTCTCTTGTGGTTACTTGACTCTGTTTTGTTATTTACTTTCTCTGGTTTGTTTTGCTCACTTTGCTACTCAACTCTTTCGCTTCTGAATCTCCAAACAGCTTTAACATCTGATAATTGCTGCCAGCCTGTACATCTCTCAGATATCTGCCTTCCTTTGACACTAGCCTAGAATCCCTACAGTATGGAAGGAGGCCATTTGGGCCATCAAGTCCATGCTGACCCTCTGAAGGGCATCTCACCCAGACCCATCACCCAAACCCCACAATTCCCATATCTAACCCACCTAGCCTGCACATCCCTGGACAATCCGGCATTGCCAATCCACCCTAACCTGCACATCTTTGGACCGTGGGAGGAAACCCACGCAGACACGGGGAGAATGTACAAACTCCACACAGATAGTCACCCAAGGCTGGAATTGAACTCGCGTCAATGGCGCTGTGAGGCAGCAGTGCTAACCACTGAGCCACTATGTCACCTCATGCACACTCTCCAGTTTTTAAAATCACTCCACCATTGGCAGCTGTGCCTTCAGCTGCCTGGGTCCTGAGATCTGGAATTCCCTCCCTAAACCTGACTGCATCTCTTCCTTAAAAATCTACCTTGAACCAAGCTTTGGATCATCTGTCCTGATGTTTCCTCATTCATTGAGTCTATATCATTCACCATATGTTTGCCAATTGAACCACCTGAAAAGGATGATGTCCATATTAATTTTTCTTCATAAGTGATTTAGCACAGCAAACAACTTGATGGGAAGTTTAAAGAGAAGACTACATTGGCCCATTGTTTTTTGCTGCCATAACATTATCAATATTACTATCAATGTTTCAGCAGAAAAGTCAGTCATTTTATTAGCACAACATTGTAATAGTTTTAAGATTCAAGCACACCATCTTTTAGGCTCACTGTACTGAATGCGAGACTCAGTCCATAGTCTTCTGATCTAACCCATTCTACTTTGGATTCTCAAAAGTATAAGCCTTTCGATCTCCCCGTCTAATGGTCCAAAGATGTGCAGGTTAGGGTGGATTGGCCATGCT